CTGTGAGTGAGCTACAAGAGCTCACACTAAACAAAGGGGCCAGTCCATGGAACAACCTCAAGTGTGACCCCAGTTTTTTTTTTTTTTTTGAGACAGAGTCTCACTCTGTTACCCAGGCTGGAGTGCAGTGGTGCGATCTTGGCTCACTGTAACCTCTGCCTCCCAGGTTCAAGTGATTCTCCCACCTCAGCCTCTCAAGTAGCTGGGATTCCAGGTGTGTGCCACCCACTCCTGGCTAAATTTTGTATTTTCAGTAGAGACGGGGTTTTGCCATGTTGGTCAGGCTAAGTGTGACCCCATTTTTATTAAAATCAAAACAAAGGACTTCAGTCCAACAAAACAGGAATTCTGAAAGACCAGAAACAGGTCTAGAAGGTGCTATGAGTAGGGGAGCCTACGAAGGTGGAGGCTGGGCCCAGCACCTGGGGAGAGGCCTGGGGACGCCCTTCAGCCACTCCATCTCCAGTTGTCTGCCACAGTTGGGGCCATGAGGAATCAGGAGCCACGATGGTGGAGAAATAGTCAAATATTGATTTAGTACCTAGTGGAGTAAAATGCTGATTACATATCAATGGATTAGGTAGAAGAAGATGCAAATCACATCACTGGGCACATTTGAATATAATGCATCGTAAGACACAGCCCAGGCTGTGAAGCCGCCCTGAGAAGTTCATAGTTGGTCTCATCGTTTTATGTCTATGCTGTGCATTTGCTTCTGAAGGACCATTGTGGGGTCTGCACTACTTGTAAAAGCAAGAATCCAGTCTAAAGACTTACCCTGTGGCTCCGTGTGATCTCTAAATACGGCAGTTTTTGTTTGTTTGTTTGTTTGTTTTTTTGAGACGGAGTCTGGCTCTGTCCCCCAGGCTGGAGTGCAGTGGTACGATCTCGTCTCACTGCAAGCTCCGCCTCCCGGGTTTACGCCATTCTCCTGCCTCAGCCTCCCGAGTAGCTGGGACTACAGGCGCCTGCCACCTCGCCCGGCTAGTTTTTTGTAGTTTTAGTAGAGACGGGGTTTCACCGTGTTGGCCAGGATGGTCTCGATCTCCTGACCTAGTGATCCGCCCGTCTCGGCCTCCCAAAGTGCTGGGATTACAGGCATGAGCCACCGCGCCCGGCCTACATATGGCAGTTTCTGAGCGCCACGGCCTGCGCTTCTACGTTCTTTCCTCGAATGCTGTGTCTCACCTCGGATTCTGGGTTTGCTGCTGCTGTTTGACAGACAGCACCCCACACGGAGCAGCCGGAGGATGCCCTGCTGCTTCCCTGGTTGTGGACAAGCCGGGCAGCTGGCGGATGGCACAGCACAAGCGCTGGTTGTGCCTGCTGGGCACTGCCTTCACGCACAGCAAATGGAGCCTCCGAACCCTGCCTCATCAGCCCAGGTCGTTGCTTTGCTGAGCAGTGCTCAAGGCTTTTACACTCGGCGGGCGGGCGGCACTCCGCAGACGCTTTCCTGGGGAACAAACCCAGCCGGGCGCCGGCGCCGCTCAGGCTCCCTTGGTCTAGTGCCCTCTAGCGGTGCCGGCCAGCACTGCCGCAGAGGCCGCGGGTCGCTCGGATGGGAACGGATGGAAACGTGGCTGAGGCCACTGTTCACCCGGAAGTATTTTGCCTCTGTTTCTCAGGAACTAGCTGTGAAACTAAACATTCTCACGCTGCCAGCAAAATGACCATTTTTCACTTAATTTGCAGACAACAGCATTATTAATGGCGAACATCTTGAAGGAAACTAAGTGTGGTCAAGTTGAGCAAACATCACATTATTTTCCCGAAGAATGCTGCGTGGACTCACGGAGTCCGTCTGCACTAATCCATCCAGTGAACGGCTTCCTTCTTCCTGGCCGAGTTCCTGCTCCAGCATTTCCTCCAAATCCTGCCCAGCATTAGTGACATCTTTCTATAAACATTAATTTCAGTTTCAAATATTTTTTTCCCTCAAAACTCAGAAGCTTAGCAAGAAAATAAAAATCACAACGAGAAACGTGTCCACTCCCCTGGCACTTCTGGACTTCCCGTAACACAGAGAGAGCTCGAACCACATGCTCTTGTCGGCAACTGCCTCCCTATGCCCTCACCGCGAGGGCCTTGCTGTGCTGGTTGATGAGATGGACGTGGTGCTCAGACGGGCAGGTGATATGGTTTGGCTGTGTCCCCACCCAATCTCCTCTTGAACTGTGGCTCCCATAATTCCCACTTTGTGGGAGGGACCCCGTGGGAGGTAACTGAATCATGTGGGCGGGTCTTTCCCATGCTGGTCTCATGGTCTCATGAGAGTGAATAAGTTTCATGAGATCTGATGATTTTATAGGAGCAGTTCCCTGCACACACTCTGTGCCTGCCGCCATGTAAGATGTGCCTTTGCTCCTTCTTCACCTTCTGCCGTGACTGTGAGGCCTCCCCAGCCATGTGGGGCTGTGAGTCCATTTGACCCTTTTCCTTTATAAACTATCCTGTCTCGGTTGGGTATGTCTTTAATATAATAGCAGTGTGAGAACAGACTAATACAGCAGGGAACCATCTTCTTTCACCAAAAAAGAAAAAATTTAGTAAAACATCCGGACAGTGGCACAAAGCTATTCCGTGGAGAGACCCGATGGATAGCACTGCCGAGGCGGAACTCCCACCTGTCCTTGCAGCAGTGTGGGGCCTGAGGGATGATGCATGAGGCTGCACAGCAGCGGGGGACTCAGCCCAAGGTTAAGTCTTGGCCCTGAATCACAGCTGCACCATGAGTGGTGGAGGCAGCCCCCCCACTGCCTGCAGCCCAGCCCATGAGACACCACTGGGCAGGACAACTCACCGTGGGTGGTGGGGGGTGGGGGGAAAGGCTTGGCTGCTGTACACCCACACGTGGGTGTGGCAGAGCCCGCAGAAAAGGTGCTGCCCACTTCTAGCCCAGGACGCACGAAGAGCGGAAGGCACTGCCCCTCCATGTTCCTGCCCCCTGCCAGCCTCTGCTGCTCCATCACGACCCCATGGCTCGCCCTGGGCTTTCACAGTCTTGTTTCACACAGCTGGTGCCTTCACACATCATCCCTCAGGCCCTGCGCTGCTGTTTCTGGGCTGAACGTGGGCTTTCACGCACTGCCTGAGGATAGATGGCAGTTCCGCCTCGACAGTACTGTCTGTCGCCCCCATCCACGGAGTAGGCTTGTGCCACTGTCTGGATGTTTTACTAAATTGTGCCTTTTCCAGTGACAATCACTGGAAAGGGAAGAAAGGTGTGCCGACGTGGGCCAGTGGCAAATCAAGGCACAAGGGCTGCCCCTGGCGAATGCCTGTACAGAACCAGGTGCTGCGGGGTGGACCCTGGCCAAAAGCAGGCTCAACTGTGAAAAACAACAAGAATAAAGAACAGGAAATTCTGTAAGTGTGGCCTCAAGTTTATGTCTAGAAAGGTGAAGTGATGGAAGAAACTAAGATTTTAAAATCAGGGACGAGTCATCAGCCCCCAGACAGAAGGGCCCGGCGCTGCCTGGAGAGAGGCTGAGGCAGCACGGCAGCCCCGGGGAATATTTCTTGGCAAAGTTTTCAAATAAGTCCCTTAAGGAACACCACAGGCATGAGGACGGCCCCGGCCATGTTCCTTTGCAGGATCAGCTCCAGCAAGTCCACCTGCCAGAACCAAGGCGGCCGCTGCAGACTGAGCAGAGCCCTGCGAGGTAAACCGTGAGAACGGCAGCTGCAGGAAGAGAAACGATTCCTCCCGCTTGTATTTCTCATGTAGCCTGCAGCTGGACGTGTGAAGCCCTCATGCACATAGCACACAGCACACACAGGGAAGGAAACATCAGCGCCATCATTCGATTCATGATTTTACGTTTTGAAATTTCCGGGAATGAAACCGACTTAGAACATGCACATTTCTAAAGGATTTCTGCATATCTGATTTTAGCATGAGTTTTTGGAGCACTGTAAGCTCCCGGAGGGGACAGTCAGCTCATGGAGGGGACAGTCAGCTCCTGGCAGAGGGGACAGTCAGCTCCCGGAGGGGACAGTGAGCTCCCGGAGGGGACAGTCAGCTCATGGAGGGGACAGTCAGCTCATGGAGGGGACAGTCAGCTCCCGGAGGGGACAGTCAGCTCCCAGAGAGGACAGTCAGCTCCTGGAGAGGACAGTCAGCTCATGGAGGGGACAGTCAGCTCCTGGCAGAGGGGACAGTCAGCTCCTGGAGGGGACAGTCAAGTCACAGAGGGGACAGTCAGCTCCCGGCAGAGGGGACAGTCAGCCTCCAGAGGGGACAGCCATGAATGCCATGACTACCAGAAGGACATGGGCACCCTCTGTCCAGCAGCCCAGGCATTCTGGCATCTGGAGGGCCTAGAGCAGGCACCTGGGAGGCTGCTGTGAAGGCAGGGACGCCTCACCTGAAATAAAGTCTCTGTGCGGCCTGGCAGTGCCTCAGCTCCGCCTGCAGCGAAGGTGAGGATTCTCCTGCTCCACGTGGTGCTCGGCTGCTGTTAACTGGGTTAACTTGAGTGAGATAAAGCTGACACTTTTTAGGTAAATGCAAACTAAAAGATTAGAACTAACCCCATAAGCCTCTTTTCCAACCCTGTGTGGTCCCGGCTGGCGGGAGAGACGTGGGGTCTGAGCCTCTCTGGGAGCCCCGTGCACAGGGGCGTCCCCTGCAGGAGACCCCACCCTCCTGACGGAGGCGGCGGCTCCACGCACACAGGCCGCACCTGCAGGGTGAACTCAGGCCCGGAATCCATCTCCGGACCTGACAGATTTATCCGCTGAAGCCGGCATCACAGGCCAGCTGTGAGTACTGTGTGAACAGAACGCACAGTCATCACCTAACACAGGATGCGGCGGAGCGGACCCACGCGGCGTGCACACCCCACAGCAGACCTGTCTCCCCCAGGAGCTGCAGCCAGAACCTTCTCACAGTAAATCAACAGGCAGGTGTTCGTTTTGCCTCCAGCATCAACATTTTAAGGAAGTTCCAAGTTGTTAAGAGTGAAGTTTCAAACATATCACAAATACGCTACCCCTGATAATCAGAAAAATACTTTATTTGACTACATTACTTAATTATTTCATCAAGTGAGAAAGTGTAGTCGCATTGGCTGTCTAACATACACATGCTAGTAGGCAGAAGGCTGGAGGACTGGAAGGGGCAGAGCGCGTGGCTGGGTGTTCATCTTTCACATGTCACTGCCCCAAGGTGAGCAGGTCCCGCAGGAAGCATCCAGAGTCGCAATAAAAACACATCAACTTTGTCTTTGAAATGACTTCAAAACTTCACACTGTTGAGGAAAATGAGGGTGCACATGTTACATACAAAAAATAAGGTGGGGAGAAGAGTTTATTCACTAAAATGTGTACTTTTAAAAATTCAGATGTCATCTTAGTATTTTCAGAGTATTATCAACATGTTTTAAGTCGTAATTTTGGAAATTCACAATGAATATAAAAGTGAACCTTGCTGCGTTTCTGAACGACTAAGGCAAAGCTCAGAAACACAACTCTTGAGAACGTTTAGAGCTCCGCGTCTGCCCTTGGCGCACACTTAAAGACTTCTTTACACATGCACTTTCCCAAGAGCATTTCCTTCTGGGGCTGCTGAGCACCTGCCTGAACACTGCCTCTGCAGCAGGCTGGCGATGCTGATGGGCGGCCTGGGGGGCAGCCCGGCCTGGGAGCTCCCGAAGCCTGGAGAGTCCCCTCTTCCTGCTCTCCCTGGTAACTGTGGTGTTGGCGTGAGCGGTGGTCCCTTGTAGGGGATTTGCAGAGGTGGAATCCTAATAAATTCAAGAAACACAAAATTATTAATGCTCCAAGCATCTCTGGTGACATGACAATTAGAGCACTGACGGTTTTGTGGTTTTAAAGGCCTGGATTCCCAAGCATCTCTGAGTACCTCAGACCAGCACGCACACCCCCACCAGGCGGTCAGCAGAAGACATGGACAGATGCTGCACGACCCGTGGGCACCCAGGAGGGTCAACACCCCAGGCCAACGGGGATGGGAGGTGGGGATGTGAGAGAACGCTGAGGCCTGCAGGCAGCCAGGGGTGGACTGGACAACAGGCATTAAAAGCCGTTCAAGGACTCTGGGGGGCTGACATGGGAGGGTCTGCCTTTTAGAGAGAGCACCGGACCTTTGAACACTTGAGTTCAGTTGACAGAGACATTGGTGTGTACTTAAATATGCAGCAGACGGAGTGGGAGGCCACCCAGAGGTCTGAGAAGAAGAGCATGGGGAGGTGAACTGTGGTCTGTTCTGGGGCTGGGGCCGAGTCCAGCCTGCCACCTGCTTTTGTAAATAAAGTTTTACTGGAACCCAGCCACACCCATTAATTTACACACTGCCTGCCCCAGCCTTCTCAATACAGAGGCAGAGCTGAGCAGCTGCCCAAAAAGTCAAACATATTTACTACCTGACCTTTATAGAAGACGCCTGCTGACCCACGGCCTATTCTTGTAGTAAAATAGCACACAGTCATCACGTGGTTCTTTTGAAGATTTTAGCAACAGGGCAAATGCCTACGTTGTATCTTAGCTTCAAAAAAGCAAACTCCTGGCCAGGCACGGTGGCTGATGCCTGTAATCCTAGCATTTTGGGAGGCCGAGGTGGGTGGACCACCTGAGGTCGGGAGTTCGAGACCAGCCTGACCAACATGGAGAAACCCCGTCTCCGCTAAAAATACAAAATTAGCCATGCTTGGTGGAGCATGCCTGTAATCCCAGCTACTCGGGAGGCTGAGGCAGGAGAATCACTTAAACCCGGGAGGTGGAGGTTGCGGTGAGCCAAGATCGCGCCATTGCACTCCAGTCTGGGCAACAAAGAGGGAAACTCTGGCTAAAAAAAAAAGCAAACTCTAAAGTGGTATATGCAACAAAACCTCACTCAAAGCGTGTAAAAAAAAGGGATGAAAAGCAACACATTAAACTTTTAGCAGTAATTCTGTGGGTGAGATGATGAGCAGTTTTATTTTGCTGACCATTTCCTTTAAAACGCTGTGAAGAAGGTGCTTGCAGGGGACACTACCTGAGAGGCTTTCCCACGCTCCTCTGACTCGGTGTCAGGCCGGGATGCTCGGGGGCCCGGGAGGAGACACTGCCTGTGGTAGAACAAGAAAAAAACACGAGTCGTTCACGGTAACACATCACGGTGCTTTGAGGACGACAACCAGGCCAGCCTGCTGTGCTTCTCGGTAGCTGTCACTGCCTCTCCGCCATGAGGGCAGAGGCAGGCAGAGCCACACAGGCACGCAGGTTCCTCTTCGGTCACGCGCAGCCCTGGTGCCAGCACGACACCCTGAGCAGCCCCGGGTCTTCCACATGAGGGCGTAAATATCCTACATTTTAATCTTTCTACCTTTATGCACCTCTGCAGCTTAGAGAATATGTAAGCCATCTGAATCGTCAGCAGCTGGAAAGCGAGACCTGGAAATGAACTGGCCAGTCCCAGCTGAGCTTCAGCCTCACTCAGGGGCCCTCGGCCTGGGGGCTCTGCGAAGGGGCCTGCCCGTCATGGGGGCAGCCGTGGGCATGCAGACTGTGCCTGGCATACAAAGGTGCTCAATGAGCATCTGGAGCACAAGCTTCTTCCCCTGCCTCTCCCAAGCCTTGGCTCCTGCTCCCGAGAACTGCCGGAAGGGCAAAAGCATGTCCAGAAGTTCTTTCAGCGCCCCACCCGTGTTTGCTTTCTCCAGGTGCCTTGTAAGGTGAAAGGGGAGATGTGACGACTGAGTTCTCAAGCAGCACCTGCTCGTGGACCCCAGGCTGGGAAAAGCCACCTGGTGAGGGAGCCCGAGCATTAGGCTTCCCCAGCGCAGTGACTGGTGACTGCCCGGTGACTGCCCAGTGCCTGCCTGCGGCGGCATGTCGGGGGGTCGCAGGCCTGTGGGGCACAAGGCAGTCTCCGTACCCCCAACGGGGGTTTTGTCTTTGCCCCGGGCTGTGCGGACCTTGTGAGGATGTTGCCTGCGGGAGGTATCATAACTCCTGAGTCTGCAGGTGACCCTGAGAAGCCTCCAAAGAACAGCTAAGAGCAAGAAGGAGAGCTGTCCTACTGGGCTGTGTGAGTGCTGCCTTCACTTCTGTCTTTTATCATGGTTTGGCATCTGGAGGCTTGTGGACCCTGCAGAGACTGCCCTCCTAGGGACAGCCAGTTCCTAGAGGCAGGAGGCCATGGTGAGCACACTTCTGATATGAAAGCCAACAAATCCAGAGCCCATGTTCAGAGCCCACCCCAAGCCTGGGCAGCCTGTTCCACTCACCCTGCCTGATCCTCCCATGAGAACCACAACCAAGGTGCTAGGTCTCCCCTCACTCCCTCCCTGGGGGTCTCTGGGGAACTATGAGTGGAAACTCCTTTCCTCACAGCCATTGCCTCCTCATCCTTCGGCCTCACACCAGCTGATTAAAACAAAACCCTGTACATTGAACACACAGAACCACAAATAATAACGATGGCAGGCATCTTTTGTTAAGTAACTTATGCTCAATACTAGATGGTTAGTTGAAATTGTTGGCTGGGCGCGGTGGCTCATGCCTGTAATCCCAGCACTTTGGGAGGCTGAGGCAGGCAGATCACCTGACGTCAGGAGTTTGAGACCAGCCTGACCAACAGTGGAGAAACCCCGTCTCTACTAAAAATACAAAATTAGCCGGGCGTGGTGGTGCATGCCTGTAATCCCAGCTACTAGGGAGGCCGAGGCAGGAGAATCACTTGAACCTGGGAGGCAGAGGTTGCAGTAAGCTGAGATCATGCCATTGTACTCCAGCCTGGGCAACAAGAGTGAAATTCTGTCTCAGAAAAAAAAAAAAAAAGAAAGAAATTGTTTCCTGTTTACTCAATGGAAATTTTTCGAGATAACTATTATCAACAGAGATGAAGAGACTGAGGACCCAAGAGGCCAACAACTCACCCAGGCTCTGGCGAGCAGTGCTCAGACAGCCAAGTGTGGGCCATGGGATCTCAGACCCAAAAGACCCCCTGCTGCTCAGCCCCCTGCCTGTCCCACAGGGCTCGGGAATCCTAAGGAGTCCTTTAGGTTCTGCTGGGAACCAAGTCACACCAGGAATCACCCTGAAGAGCGGGGACTTGGAGAAAGGGGTGGCCAGGGAGTGCTAGAGGAAGGCCCGAAAGCCACCCAGAGCCAGGCCAGCTCTCAACAGCACAGCAGCCCTGAGCCGGGAGGAGCTCCTCAGGGTGCCAAGGGGGCCCGTGTTTCAGCCTCACTAAGAAGCAGGTGACCAGAGGGATAACCCATTCCTACGACACCTTCCAGCGCAGCGGTCTCTGTTCAGGGGAGTAATGCTGTTTAATGTGTTTCACAAAGATGTCCATTTGAAAAATTTAACGAAAACACGCTGACATTTGAAGAGGGTAAATTTCACCATCTGGGTGCCCAACAGCCTGCTTCCCTGTGGTGCCAGATCCCCTGTGTTGTGTTCCGGAGGGGACCACATACTGCAGAGTGAGCGCCCTGCGCCCCTGCCGACAGGTCAGACAGCCCGACACACTGCTCAGTGAGTCCGCAGGGCAGACAATGGACAGACTGCCCACCTGCCACTCTGACATGTGAGGGGTCCGGGACCTGCCGTTCACCAACTCATTTAGTGAGTGCTTCTTGAGGAGGACCGCTGGCTACAGTTAAGTAGAAATCAGTGAATTATCTCTACGAAGCCAAGTATGAAACTGGACAAAATGGTAGAAACAACGGTTCAGGCCTCTGAAAATCAACTTGAGGCAGACAACAAATCACAACACACTGACTCCCGAAATCACAACACACTGACTCCCGAAATCACAACACACTGACTCCTGAAATCACAACACACTGGCTCCTGAAATCACAACACACTGACTCCCGAAATCACAACACACTGACTCCTGAAATCACAACACACTGACTCCTGAAATCACAACACACTGGCTCCCGAAATCACAACACACTGACTCCCGAAATCACAACACACTGACTCCCAAAATCAGAACACACTGACTCCCGAAATCACAACACACTGACTCCCGAAATCACAACACACTGACTCCCGAAATCACAACACACTGACTCCCGAAATCACAACACACTGACTCCCGAAATCAGAACACACTGACTCCTGAAATCACAACACACTGACTCCCGAAATCAGAACACACTGACTCCTGAACAGAACACACTGACTCCTGAACAGAACACACTGACTCCTGAAATCACAAGACACTGGCTCCTGAAATCCCGCTGCAGCTTTGGGAGGAGCGGGACTTGGCTTCCCGGCCTGAGGGTGAATACAGACACAAAATTCCTCAACAAAATACCGCAAACCAAATCCAGCAGCATATAAGCAGCTGCTCCACCTCCCCCTACCCCACTCTACCCAGTAACAGCACAGCTGCACCAGGGTAGGTGGCTGAGGACCAGCAGCTTTGCTTCCAGAGGGGGTGGGCTCAAGGTGGGAGGGGAACACTTTCATCAGCCATGGGGGGTCCATCTGCAGGACCTGGAGAGGCCCACAGCCCTGGCTGGGGAGGGGTCAGGAGAGCAGGGACTAGTCAGAAAAATAATGGGGAGATGCTGAGAACAAGAGAGCCAGACGGAGGTGGCTCCCCCGGAACCCTGGCCGACAGAAGCAGCACAGGCATGTGCAGGGGATCCAGCACGGCCACAGAAGTGATGCCACAGGGGACCAGGAACCGACTGGATATCAGCTCCCTACACGCGCGGATTGTTGGCCTTGGGGAGCCTCAGGGATGCGTGGTGTTGGAGCACAACCACAGACGGAGCAGCAGCCCACCGCTGAGCTGTAGAGACAGGCGGACACTGCGGGACACCCTGGCTCAACAAGAAGAGCAGAAACCATGAGCGGACACATCTGCGGCTGCCATGGACACAAGTTCTCCAGGTCCCGGTGAAATACCCAAGCAAACAAAAACCAATCAAACAACCTCTGATAGAAATACAAGAATCCAGACTTGCTCAAATACAGTACCCAGGTTGTCCAGATTGCAGCCCCTAATCATGGCACAAGCAAAGAAACAGAAGCGTGACGACACTCAGGGAAAAGGGCAGATGGCAGAGGCCCGCGCTGCGTGGCCCAGATCGCATTTCCTAAGGACTCCAGAGTGGCTACTGTAAATGAGCCAAAGAATTAAAGGAAAATATGATGATAGTGACTCAACACACAGGGCTTCCAGCACAAACACAGAAACACTGAAAAAAAAGAACCAAGAACGGAACCTTTTCTAATGCATTCTACAAGGACAGAATGGGGTCCTGACACCAAAAGCAGACAGAGACGTTACAAGGAAGGAAGTGTGCTGACCAGTATCTCTTATGAATATAGACACAAAATTCCTCAACAAAATACCAGCAAACCAAATCCAGCAGCGTATAAGAAAGATCATACACCATGACCAACTGGGATTCGCCTCAGGAATGCATGGTTCCTTCAACACACAGAAATCAACACCATATTAATATATTCTATCGATGGAAGTAATTACATCTATGAACACATCACGGTAACAGAACAAAACCCAATGATCATCTCAAAAGATAAAGAGAAAGCACTTGAAAAATTTAATCCTTCTTCATGACAAAGGACTAGAAGGGCCCTTCTCAACCCTACAAAGGGCACCTCCAGGAAACCTTCGGTGGACACCATCCTTCATGGTGAAAGGCTGAAAGCTTCCTCCTAAGATCAGGAACAGAACAAAGACAAGGATGTCTGTTCTTGCCACTTGTATTCAACACTGTATTGAAAGTTCTAGAGAGGACAGTTAGGAGAAAATAAATGAAAGTCCTGCAGTGGGATGGGAAGCGAAAAAATAAAAACAAAAGTAAAAGATAAATAAAAGGCACCGTGGTTAGAAAGGAAAAAGTAAAACGACCTCTACTTGCAGATGACATGATTTGCCATATACAGAAAACCCTGGAGAATCCACAAAACATTCCCCAGAGCTCATAAATGAACTCAGTAGATTGCAGGATACAAGATCCACCTATAAAAATCAGTTGTATTTCTATGTACTGGCAATGAAAATCTGAAAATAAAAGTTAGAAAACAATTCTATTTACAGTAGCACCAAAATAACAAAATACTTAGGATT